TCATGTTTGGGAGAGTGGAGGGACGGCTCCGGAGAGGAAGACCCTCAATGAGATGGATCGATTCTGTGATTGGGGTAGTGGAAATTAGTGTGTTTGAGAAGGCTAGGTTGGCACAGGATATAACAGCTTTTAGGGCTCTTGTTCATAGGGTCGCTATGAGTTGCAAGCGACTCAGTGACACATAACAACAACAACATAGCTTGGAAGATACAGGAGAGCACTATGCTGAGTAAACTAAGTCAGTCTCGTAAGGACAAATACTGCATAAGACCATTATTGTAAAAATAGAAGGATAACTAATAAAACATATATAGGGGTCCAAAGGGGAAAGGGGTGGAACAGAGGGATGACGACAGGTAGGAGGGGAAATTTGTTCTATTTCTTGCAAAATTTTTACATTGATTTATAGTGTAATATATGAATTTGCAATAAAAAAAGAAAAAAGTCAACAATGAAAACAAAAAGAAGGCATAGAGTCAGGGTATCAAAAAGATTTGGTCAACATTGAACCATTTAAGGAAGCAGCATATAATCAAGAACCTATGGTAAATGAAGGAAGTTCAAGCTGTTAAAGGCACATGCAAAAAATAATGTTCCTGTAATTTATGGACTGCCAATTGAGGTGTTTCTACAAATGTATGTTGTCCTGGATGTGCTTACTCATTTTTGCCAAGAAATTTGGATTATAGCTCCCTGGCCAAGTTTCTAGGAGAGATTCATATTTGTTTCCATTCCAATAAAGATAATCCAACAGAGTAGACACTCCTCTCTTCTTCCTACCCTCCAGTTTTCCGAGCACGATGTCCATTTCCATAAAATAGTCTCTCCTATCTACCCCTACAAAGCCACTAGAGGGTCAGCTATGGGTAGGTACCTACTCAACGGTACACAGCAATACCACAGCAACATGCTCAAAGTATGTGAGATGAAAGAGAGGAAGACTATCATAAAATGGATTGACACAGTGACTGCAGCAATGAGTTCAAGTGTGTCAGAAACTATGAGGATGGTACAGGATAGGAAAGAAGTCAGACTGTTGTTCACAGGGTGGTTATGAGTCATATTTGATACCACCAAACAAGAACAACAACAGAGTAAATAAATTATCAAACAATATTAAAAATATAAGTTGGGGATTTCTTTGTTATTGGGTACCTTCAAGTTGATTATACCTCATAGCAACAACATAAGTAACATTCCAACACCAAGAAAACAAAATTCCTCACAGCTGGGTGACAGAGAATGAAGATTGCATAGGATAGAGCAAAGTTCTAATATATTGTTCATAGGGTTGCTATGAGATGTAGTTGAATCAAAAACATCATATAGATTTGATCCTATGCAAACTATGGAACAATTTTAAAAACAGAAATGCCATTCACATATTTAAGGCATTCAGATGAAAATTTGCTTATGTATTAATGACAATTATTTTTCTTTACTAAAAAATAAAAATAAGACTATAGCATTCACTGAATCAAGACCCTAATGTAAAAGTGAATAAAAGGTATACTATTAGTAATTTTAATATGATTTTTTGAGTCTCTCCATGTTGCATGCTGGAAGGAATCTAATCATCTATACTTTAAAAAGATATTATTTATGTATAACGTCATTCACTTTTTTATATATAATTATTCATATACATTGCTTTATTCATGTACATTTTGTTTTATAAAATCACTTCTGTATGTTATGTTTTAAGTAATTAATTAGAATTGATCTTTTATTTCCTCATTTTCTCAATTACCTCTTGCATCCTACTCTTTATTCACCCTCACAGTCTCCCACTAATCTCTGTGTCCTAGTGATTCACTCTTCCTTCTTCTATCCTCCTTTTCTCCTTTAAATAGTTACACATAATTACTGTTTGTTATTGTTATGAGCCATCTAATCACCCGAAACTCATAGTGACCCTATGTACAACAGTTCTAATCTCTGCTCTATCCTGTGCCAATCTTACTGTCTCTGACACACCTACCCACATTACCCCAGTCACTGAATCAATCCATCTTGTTTAGGGTCTTCCTCTCTTGCACTGTCCTTCTACCCTCCTAAGCGTGACGTCGTCTCCAAGGACTAGTCCCTCCTTGCAATATGTCCAAAGTATGTCAAACAAAGCCTCAGAATACCTAATAATTATATATAATTATTATTATTCTATATTATTCCTATTTGCTAATTGCAATAGCCGTATTGCCTTTCTCTTGATTCTTCCCAGATTGATCCTCCCTTGTCTTGGACCTTATAGTGTTCTTTGTCTACCTAGTATGTATCTATTCTTCCTCTCTCTTTCCCCTCAATTATACTCCTGCTGTCACAATAGTGGTTTCGTGTAGTATTTTTCCTTATTGACTGAAACATGAATAAAATGGTGATTTACAACAAATAAAGTTGAAATACCAGGACAGATTTGCTTTACTGTAGGAGAAACTATCTAAAAGGATTTAAGGGCATTTGAAAAATAGTTTAAATTTTCCATATAAAAACTTTTGTGAACCACCAATGCAAAGAATAAATCTGAAGAGTCATCCTAGCACTCTTGAAGAATTCTATGGGCACACTCCTCTGTAGGTTAGATAAGACAGTGGAGACTGTTATCACTGAATTGAGAAATTTAAATGTGGCAGAAGTAATTGGACTTTAGGTGGCAGGGAATCAAGTGGCAATACATACTCATCAAAGACAAAGTAGATGTAGCTATCATAATGAACTACTTAGTCAAAGAATTGTATGACTCTCAGAGAATTATGATGTTGACAGATTTACCATAATGTCCCTAGAAACAAAATGATGGCGAGTTTACTAGGGCCTTTATTAATTTTTTAATCTTTGTAAATGGTTGAATTCAAGATCAAATGAATATCAGGCTAATTTAAATCACAAAATCACAGAGTCATGGTTGCTTTATCAATCTAAAAACTGAAACCAGTTGAGAGATCAACAACCACTTAAATGAAGAGAATGTTGAGAATACATCCAAAAACATGTACTACTGATCTTTCTCTAAAAGCACCACAAAACCCCAACTCATACCAGGGTAAAATGTACATGGTGATTGTGCATTGGGGAAAAAATTACTCTATTAAAATTCTTAGTAAATACTATATGCAATGTCTGAACTTACAAGAATCTGAGGGACCCCAAATATCTTTGCAGTTTCTCAGAGTATGAGGTTACGAACATCAGGTGATCAGTGGAGTTTTGGCTCAAATCAGTCTCACTGATTCAGAGGATCCAGCAAGTCTCCGAGTCTATCCTGTGGCTATTTCCTTAGTTTAAAAAATAATTAACTTGGATATATACTTTCAGTAAGATGGCTATCTCATCAAGATGGATTGGCACAGTGATTACCACAATGAACTTCAACATATCAGAGATCATGAGAATGGCACAAGATAGGGCAAGTATCAGATTTATTGTTCGTAAGGTCTCCATGAGTCATAAGCAAATCAATGGCCCCTAAAAAAACAACTTTCAACAACTGACAATATTCTTACATTGATTCCATGATACATGGAACAAAGACTAATATTGTAGGAAAGGCTAAGTGGACACTAACAGTATTGCTTCTGTCTAGGAATATAGTACACTAAAAGCAATATAACATTTCTGCTGGAAATGTAGAGGTTAGTAGCATTGCCAAGAGATTAAAGCAGGCAACATTGTGATTCTATCACGTTCCTATTTAATCGTCTATTTAAGCTGACCTGGAAACAAATGGATAATGGAGAGTAACAGTGGAAATGGAACAGAAATAGCTGTGTGGATATTTGTATAGATATTTATATAGTTCTGTTATCTAATAATAAGACCATAGTCTTAAGATACTGACCATGCTAATAGGAAGTTATAATTTATGAAATTGAATATTGCATAAAAAAATTTTAGTTGGGTCTTTTTGACTGGTGACTGTTCAGAAAATAGTCACTTTCTCATGTTCCATTTCCATTGTAATTTTCCAAGATCCATTCTGTTCTGGATATTCCACCAGCAACAATGTCTTTATTCATTTCATCAGTATTAATTAATTAGGAAATTATATTTTGAAGAAGAAATATGTGTCAGGCAAGCAATATTAATTAAAGGTGCTTCAAAGTGTGTATTTATTTTTATATTAAGATCATAATAACTCTTTAAGGATGTTATATTGTGTCACAACCAAGTTTGATACCACCTGCCCAGAGTATCATCTAGCTACTTATGAAAGAAGGGAGGATTAATTATTAATAACAGAAAAGGAAAAAATTTTCTATCCAACAGTTTCTCAATTATAAATGATATTAAACCATGTGAAAATAAAACATATTGACTCATCTCTCACTCAAAACATTGCCGTTGAGTAACAATTGTTTCAAAGCTGACCCTATAACCAGGTTTTAATAGAAATACAATGCCCTTTTTTTTCTTGCAGTAATTGCTAGGGCCTACTAAATCACAATATAATGAAAAGTTATCTCAAGTTTAAATGTGTGTGGGAGTGGTTGTACGCATGTGTGTGTAAACAGATTTCCATAAAAATATAACATCTAACAATTACAGTCAAATGGTTGAAAGAGAATGTTTATATTAAGAAACAGAAAGACACAATCACAAAAAGATAAATGCTGCATAATGCCACTGTTACAAAAGAGGACTGACATAGGGGTTGAGGGGGAAACTGAGAAAGAGGGGATAAATAATTTATACTGCATTGAAACAGATGAGGGAGACAACTGTTTAAAAGGGATATATGACTAGGTATTACTGTAGTGACAGGAGTCCAGAATGAAGGCAACATAGTGGAGTGGACTTGGGGCCACGTTCATTGTATAACAATGAAAGAATTTTTCTTTTACTTTTCAAAGATAAGAGTGAAGGGGGGGCAGAAAGAAAAGTGCAATGAATGAATGGAAATCCAAAGTCTCTGTAAACTTGCATTAAAATTAATAAAAAAGAAACCCAGAAAGATAAACTATGAAAAAGAAAGAAGCAGACTATTACTATTACCTTTCATAGTTCTAATTACTACCCTGGGATAATCCACACTTCATTCTCATGACTTTGCTGAGAATATTTGTCACATCTTTATTCCTCAAACTGTAGATCAGAGGGTTCAGCATAGGGATCACTGTGGTGTAGAATACAGAGGCCACCTTCTCTTGGGCCATGTTGCTGCTGGAGGCTGGCTTAAAATACATGAATATTATGGAGCCATAGAAAAACCCAACGGCTGTGAGATGAGAGCCACAAGTACCAAAAGCTTTGGACCTTCCCTTAGCTGTTGGTATTCGAAGGATATTGAAGACAATAAAGGCATAAGAGACAATGATGGGAAGAGTTGTTGCCAACACATTGAATCCACCAATCAATGCAACAAGAAGCTCATTGATGTAAGTATTAGAGCATGAGAGCTTAAGAAGAGGAATTATGTCACAGAAGTAATGATGGATGACTTTGTCATTACAGAAAGAAAGCCTCGTCATGAAGATAATGTGAGGAATAGCTCCTAAAGATGCAATGATATAAACCCCAGTCACTAAAACAATGCAGACCTTTTGGGACATGATGACATTATAGAGTAGTGGAGTACAAATGGCAACATATCTATCATACGCCATTGCAGTTAGCATGTAACACTCAGCAACAACAAAAACACAAAAAAGAAATAGTTGAGTCATACATTCAGGATAGGAAATAACGTTTTTCTCCCATAAAAAGTTTCCTAGGAGTTTAGGGGTAACAACAGAAGAGTAAAAAAGATCTACAAATGACAAATTACTCAGGAAAAAGTACATGGGTGTTTGGAGCTTGGAATTGGAAGTTATGAGGAGAATCATTCCCATATTTCCCATGATGGTGACCCCATAGATTGCTAGGAACAGGAACAAGAGTGGTAACTGTAGTTCTGGTTTATCTGTCAATCCCTCAAGGATGAACTCATTCATTATGGAACCATTTTGCTTGACCATTTTCTTTGGGAATAGTAGGATGTGAAACTATAAAAAAAGAAAAATACCAGAAAGTTAAGAAATTACTTGTCCAGGAATAATAATTCTGTTATTCTTACTACTAAAAAAATTAACTAAAGCTAATGATTATATTAAAAGAGTTGTTGTTATCTTGATTCCAAGTCCGAGTGACTCAACAGGCAGAGTAGAACCCTGCTATAGGATTTCCGAAGCTGTAGCCATTAAATAGGCTAGAGAAATATATATGCTATAGGCTTACAATAATATGTCACCAAGTCTTTCTCCTACAGAGCTGATGAATGAGTTTACTATACTAATGTTTTGGTGCTCAGTTAACCAATAATCTTTATACTTTTAAGGCTCATTAGTAGAGTTTATGTATTATCAACAATAAGATGATAAATAGCACACTCATGTTATTAATGTAAAAATGAATCCAAAGACTTTACTTAATGAGCTGCACATAAACAAAGAGAAATATTATATCACCTATAAAATTAGAGTAGAATAAACAAGAGCTTAAATATTAACAACAACTTAAATATTCTGAAGAGTTTTCATGAAGTTTCCATAAAGAGGAATATAGTAAATGTCATTTTAATTAGAACCATATTCCACTGTTCCAGAGCCCTCAGTGCCAGGAACTCAAAATTTCATTAAGTCCTAAAAAAAATAATTTCAGGTTTAGTATTGGACATGTTATGTACAGTGGATTTTTGTTGCCCACTAGTTTCAAGAAAAAAACTAGTAAGAGAATCAATATATTTTCATCAACATTCTTAATCTTAAAAGGAAGTGCATGCATTATAATATTCTAAATCAAGTAACTTACAAATTACTCCTGGAGTAATTTTATTTTCTTAAAATGTTTTATTATTCCATTTTATTTTGTTTTTATTTCTATGGACAGTTTTCCAGGCCCTTATAAGTGAATCTTAGAAACACAATGTGAAGGAAGAAGGGGCGGGAGGAATCCAACACAACAACACAATTTCATAGAGTAGTTCCTTAAACTGCACATCCCTCAGGCATCTGAAAAGTCTTCCTCCAGCTTCAGTTACATTGATTTAAATCACAAGTGCATAGAATCAGGACTAGTTTATATTATTACAATGCAGATATTGTATTCTTTCTAAGTAATTTCATTGCACTACATATGCTTTTGTAAACGTATACTGACATGTTGTGTACTTACTTGAGTGCTACCAGGAGAAGAGTCGTTGCATTTACTGAATGTAATTTTGTCTCTTCTAGTGTAAGATAAACACACATAGCTTTATGTGAAACATTATATATGCAGATCTTTAACGTCATTAAAGAGCACGTGTTTTAGCACCTATCCACAAAAATCAAACCACAACTGCTTAAAATAAAAAAGAAATACTGTCTCCTTTACTATCTAAAGTTGTATTCCTGCTCCACCTGTGTCATCAGATCATTTTGTGACATTCAGAAGTCATTTCACTGTTCCTCTTCTATAAAATGATGACATTAAAATGAAGATCTTGAATATTTCTGTTACAATTCTAGGATTTCACAATTTTCTGATTCTATTTCAAATGAGCAATAATGAGATCCTCTTCTACCTCTAGTTCTTTATAAGCCTTTTTTTGTAAGCAAGGGAATACTTTGATTTATTGTTCGTAGGTCTCTGAACTGCAAGGAGTTATATGACTAAGATATTCTCTTAGGAACAGTAGTAGAGAAGAAACTCTCAGAGATTGAATTCCCCTAAGAATAAATAATTATTAAGTTATATTTGTTTCCAGAGTAACCATATTCAAATAATATAACCATATTCAATAAGGATATTCAAATAAATTATACTTTTCATTCAAAATTAAAATTTTCTTATTATGTTTGGAGAGATTATTTTATACAACATTGGGGAATCACTCTCATCTAGGTGATTTTAATATTATCCTAAACAGATGAGTAAAATTGTAGGTAGCTTCTCTCACATCAAAGAGCAGAGTTTCCAGACCTTATTTGTGTGTATATTCTAAAATGAAAGTAAAGTGACTTTGTTTTATATCTCTCACTCTTTATTGTAATCATTGTTTTGTTAGATACTAACAAGTTGACACTGACTTGCATTGACCCTGTGAACAACATATGGTAGCTTTCCCCTTTCTTGTGCCATACTCATGATCTCTATGATGCTCAAACCTAACTTTGCAATGACCGTGCCTATCCAGTTCATTGAAGATCTTCCTCTCTTGCTGATCGTCTAACTTCCTAAATATAAATACATAGATAAATTCTAACGTGTAATGATTTCTGACAACATGCCCAAAGTCTGTGATACAACGCTTAATCTTCCTTGTATCTATAAGCACCTTGGTTATTCTCACTCCAAGGCAAATACATTTGTTTTAGGCTTTTTTAGCTCATATTTTATTAATAACTATTTATCAAAGTCTTTTGACTGTGTGGATCACAGCAAGCTATGGCTAACTCTGAGAAAAATAGGAATCCCATGACATTTGAATTGTGCTAATGTGAAACCTATACTTGGACCAAGAAGCAGTCCTCAGAAGAGAG